AGTATAATCCCACTTAGTGGGGTCTGGGGAGGGTAGTGTGTACGCAGACCTTACCCCTACCCTGGGGTAGAGAGGCTGTTTCCAAATAGACCCACGGCATCCTTCCCTCCAAGAACTTCCCACCTTGCTCTTGGGGAGACTCGAACTCACAACCTCTCGGTTGGAAGTGGAGGTTGCTTACCATCAGAGCAACCTCTCGGTCTTGAAACGTTTAAGATAGTTTTTTTAAATATTTTTAAATATTAATTATTATGACTTATAATACTTTCATGTATCGTTTAAATATATAGATATTATTTTTAAAAATTGAAAATATTATATTTATACTGGAAAAAAATACTTTGATCTTTGTACCTCAAACTTTGCCGCATGAAGTTAAATAGGGCGGCTATTAATTAATCATCATTTATAGGGTGCTCGAAGAAAAATAATAAATCACACCAAAAAAAAATTAAATAAGAAAATAAGGTGTTAACTCAAAATGACCGGTTGGATTGTTACATTTAATTTATTAAAATATAAAAAAAAAATCGATAGTAACTGGTGTAATTTGATTTTAACTAAAATAAATCAAACTAAAATCAAACCCAACCCGACACTATATATACACAAGTTTGAGAATATTTGATACATAAAAATATGATAAAATGGTCTTTGAGCCACTTACAACTTCTTTGGATGGTTGCTACGCATCGTTTTATAATGTACCATATCGTACTGTATTGTATTGTATTGTATTGTATTGTACTGTATCGTTTGATAAATACAATATTTGGATAGATTGTGTCGTTTGTCATCGTTTCATGATATTACGCACCAGCAATATGAAGAATAAACTTGCAATATTATAAAGAAAAATTACGATACAAGGTAAAATTACTATATAAAAAGAAGGGTAAATGATAAAATAAAATAATTTAATAATAATAAAGGGTGAGATTGAGAGAAAAAGATAAGGTAACGACGCGACCACACCAAATCGGTCGTTACATAAAGTGGCACATTTAGTCGTTATGTAACGGCGAATTCAACGATACGATACAATAAAATTCAAGTAACAATCAAAATAAATATTGTATTTAAAGTAACAATACGATACGATACAATGAGTAACAACCATCCAAACAAGCTGTTAAACTTGCACTAGTTTACAATCCCCGTAAATAAACTCACACATTTTTCGTTTTAAGCACTTCAACTTAACTCCCGTTTGGATTAGCTGGAAAAAAGTAGTTTTTAAGCACATGTGCTTAAAAGCAGCTTTTAAGTGCTGAAACTTATTTTATAAATAAGCAGTTACCTATTTGGATAAAAGTGTTGAAGCTTAAAAAAAGCTGTTGAAGTGTTTGGTAAACAAGTGCTGGTAAGAACTTTTTCTGTTAAAAAGACAGAAATATCCTTTAAATGTTAACATTATAATAGAAGCTGATTACTACAATATATATGATTCATAAGAAATGCAAACAAAAAATAATTTATATTTTAATTTAAATAATTACTTAAGATAATTTTTTTTATTTGTTTGCCAAGAAAATAAAAAGAATAGTTTTGCTTTGTATATATCTGCATGAGAATCTAATTGATCAATTGTTTTTTTTTCTTCCCTTGGCTCAGAAAGTGTTGCGACAGAAGTCAATCACAAACTTAAAAAGCCATCTTATACATCAAGCTAATCAAATTGAAGTTATACACTGATTTCTCAAATTATATAAAAAGTTAGGCCATTATATGCATATTTCAAGAGAACGAAACAAAATAACATTTCTCAATTGGAATGTAAAATAATAAATATTAATGTTTTAAAAGATTCATACAACTACAAGTATCAAGCTTCACAAATTTCATTAGCAATCAAATCGCGAAGACCCAACCAAACAAGATCATTTTGCTCTTCCACATTTTTCGCATTTATATTGTTATTAGCTCTCAAAGATGTACCAACATCAGGATCAACAGATGGAACATATCTCTCATTCTCAACTGCTCGGAATGCATCATCCATATTGCATTTCTTTCTAATATAGTTATGAATGGTCATAGTAGCAAGTATGATGTCTCTTTGAGTGTCAATGTGATAGAAAGGCATGTTTCGCAAAATAGACCATCTTGCTTTCCAAACCCCAAATGTGCGCTCTACAATATTTCTACAAGAAGAATGTAAATAGTTAAATTTTTCAATTTGCCCTCTTGGTTCTCGCAATTGTCTTATTGCACCGCGGCGGAATTGTGCTAGGTGATATCTCACATTATCTCCTTTGTATGGAGGCATATATCCTGTAATGTGAGGATATCCTGCATCAACTAGATAATACTTATTTCCAATTGGACGTGGAAAGTTAAGTTCCGGTCTACGAAGGGCTTCACCAAATATACGTCTATCGTGCGTTGCTCCTTCCCACCCAGCCAATGCAAATGTAAAACACATATTAAAATCTACGACAGCAAAAATATTTTGAGTCGGATAACCTTTACGGCCAATATATGGTATCTCTTGACCTTGCGGTAATCTTGATTTAATATGTGTGCCATCAAGTGCTCCAATACAATCCTACATACATTTACAAGTATAAATTCAACTTAAGTTAGCAATACTTATAAAAGTTAACTTATAAGATTAATAAAAAAAATAATTATGTAAAAATATTGCTTACTCTAAAGAAAGGGAGATATCGACCATTACATGGCTTGTGAGCTCCTATACCATCATTATAATTTTGATGTGGTCTAATTATATCTCTTGCAAGCTCACAAACGGCCTTTAAGACACTATGAAAGTGTCTATGAATTGTTTCTCCTGAATGTTGAAAGATTTCCTATATCAATCGATTTCCAGCTCCATGTGCACAAGTCATCAAGAACATGCCTAGCATCTCGTGTATAGACATTCCACGTGTGGGTTTAAGCCCATACTTTTCAGTTAAGTCATTCGATAGATCAACAAATACCGACTTTCTCAGTCGAAAATTTTCATAACAACGAGTCTCGTTTCCTCTTAATATCTCTTGAATAAATACATTTCCAGAGCGACCAGATGTACGATAATGTTCCTTGCATAGGTATTTTTCGTAATACATCAAAATCAATTTACCTGCAATTTGACATAAGGCCGTCCATTCCTTCTCATCTTGCTCCCTCTGTATCTCATCCAGTTCTTCTTCATCTTCATCATCTGATGAATAACTTGGATAAGGATCTACTATGTCACTAGAGTCCGAACTCTTCATTTTACTGAAAATGAAAACATAAAGTTTAGCAATATGCTTTCTAAATAGTACTGAAGAGGCTTTCAAACATATGCTTTCTTCAGTTCTTCTTTATGTACTGAAGAGGCCTTCAAACATAAAGTTTACCAAAGCTTAACAATAGAAGCAATATAAGCTTACCACAAACAGAACCAAATTGAAGTTTAACAATATAAGCTTAACAATAGAACCAAGGCTTTCAAACATAAAGTTTACCACAAACAAAAGCTTTAATTTAATAAAAGTTTAGTGATAAAATCCCAATGTCTAAACAAGAAGCAATATAAAGTTTACACATAAAATCATAATAACGTCTACATATACAATCATAATATTCAAACACGGAATAATAAAAACACTCAACCACAACGATACACTATTCATTTTTCTTGAGGTATAACTTATAGTTAAACTCCAACCAATTCTTGCGAGCTTCATTAGTAGGCATCCTCAAAAATATCTGTCGGTTATTTTTTTTTTGCGGAACATATTCATAGTAAAATTGTAAACTTCACTCCTAGCTAGAATATTAGGAATTTTTTCCAACGTGCCAATGCACTTCTCGATGGATGTCTCATCAACTGCAGGAGATATAGCAGTGTTGTTGCGAGACATAAACTCTATGAGAGAGTGTATATCCTCTTTTATTAATGTTGCAACTGTTTTTTTCTTACTCTTTCTTACTTGACTACTAGTGCTACCACCATCAGTTGATTTTTGCCTTTTTAGTGATGGCTTTGGAAACATAATAGAATTTATATTATGTAGATCATCACTTTCATCGCTCATTTCATCATTAAGATGAGTAAAATGTTCTTTGTCACAATCATCAATGACATTTATTCCTTCTTCATTAAGATTAAGTCCAATGCCTGATGATTGTTCTTGATTTGCTGCATGTGCTCTTTCTCCTGTGGCAACAACATCAGCAAACAGTGCATCGTAGCGAAACTATATGAGCGAAAGATCTTTGTTCCTAAATTTCTTATATTTTGCATTCTCCTGTAAAAAGAGAAAATAAAAACTACTTTAATCAAACTGATAAAATTAACAATGACAAAAATAAAAATTACACATATGATAATGTGAGAGATGTACCTTAATTTTTTTCTCCCACCAATCATCATCTGCCATAATCGTATTTTTCGTGGCATCCCATCCTAACCCCGTCTCCCCTCTCATCAACTGCTTAAAAAGTGTCCATTCTCCTTTCATGTAATCCCAATGATTTTTTTATCACAGTCTTTTTCCGTCTTCTTACAGAACTCGTCAACAAGACTTTTTCACCCATCTTTATTTAAGTAAGTATTTGGTATATTTCCTTTTCTAACCTCTTGCTCACACAACTCAATAAATATAATATGTATATCATCGTCCCACTTAGCATTGTCCGGCATAAATGAATGTAAATAATCTGAAGAAAGCAGAGTAACCAAGAAGCTAAGACTGAAGTTGCATAATAGTAATACTAGTAATTTTGTATGTTAACTCAAATCAAGCATTAGGAATATTGCACAATGAATAAGTTGGTTTATGTAACTAAGAATGTGTTCTGTACCATCTGGAAGTTAAGTTTTTGTTGTAATTGGTTTATACAAAGTAAATCAAATCTCTGTACTAAAGTAGTCTTAATGGTATTCTTTCCACTTTTCTGCTGAAGTTACTAAATAATATGGAACCCATAAAAAACAGGTAATCAGAAATGCTTAATACAGACTCTTTCCTATGCCAACACATAACAAATTATTTAAAACTCCATATGATTAACTACTGCTTTTAACCTAAGAAAATTGACAGAATTCAGATTACATTATATAATCACAGGGCCGGGAGTATTGTTTTCTAAATTATTTCGAGGATAAACTTCCAAAACCAAGCCAAAAGCAAGTTTAGAGCATTTACTTAAAACATACAGCACAAAATAAGTATATGCATTCACAATAGTACATTACATCGAACATTAGCATCCAGGCTTTTACTTTCATGTTAATCTTTATTTATGCCCTTATACTTTTTTGGTGTTTTTATTTTCCTCCTCATTATCATAATGTACTGCTATAGAGTCAAAAATACTCTTGGAATATTAGAAAATTGAAAAGTAAAGTACCCAAAAGGAACTTAGGCAAAAGAGTAATGTAAGAACATTTCATAAAAGTCATCTCCACCATAGTCTAAACACTAGTTGAGTACTACTATTTTTTGCATCTAACTGATAATCCAATCTTAGCGCATAAATCTCTACTGTGCAATGTGAATACTGCTCGACGACATGTATTCAAATCAGTGAAAATTTTCAATTCAAACAAAAATATACAATAAGGATCGAGAAGAACTTACAATGATAATTGATTTCTACTGAATTGCTTGAAGAAAAGCGCAGAAAAATTAAAGATGAAGCAAAGATGAATATGAAAAGAGACGACAGTCTTCAAAGTGAAGAAAATAGGAGAAATACAATGTTTTAGGGTTTCTTTGACTGACGGTAATTTTGGTATTATAAAAACTTATAAGAGATAAGAGAGTAATTTTTTTGGTCAAACCAAAATGGCTTTTAAGCCAATTGAAAAAGTTGGGGTCAACCAACTTGTTACTCTTAGCTTTTTTTAAGCCCATCCAAACACCCTCTAAATTAGTATTTTAGAGCTGGTCAAAATTAAAAAAGTGCTTAAAAGCTGGTTTGACCAGCTTTTAAGCCCATCCAAACACCCTCTAAATAAGACTGCCGTCGAGCAGTAAGTTTTTATAATACCAAAATTACCCTCAGTCAAAGAAATCCTAAAACATTGTATTTCTCCTATTTTCTTCACTTTGGAGACCGTCGTCTCCTTTCATCTTCAACTCTGCTTCATCTTTAATTTTTCTGCACTTTTCTTCAAGCAATTCAGTGGAAATCAATTATCGTTGTAAGTTCTTCTCGATCCTTATTGTATATTTTTGTTTGAATTGGAAAATTTTACTAATTTGAATACATGTAGTCGAGCAGTATTCACATCGCACAGTAGAGATTTATGCGCTAAGATTGGATTATCATTTAGATGCAAAAAATAGTAGTACTCAACTAGTGTTTAGACTATGGTGGAGATGACTTTTAGGAAATGTTCTTACAGTACTCTTTTGTCTAAGTTCCTTTTGGGTACTTTACTTTTCAATTTGCTAATATTCCAAGAGTATTTTTGACTTTATAGCAGTACATTATGATAATGAGGAGGAAAAGAAAAATACCAAAAAAGTATAAGGGAATAAATAAAGATTAACATGAAAGTAAAAGCCTGGATGCTAATGTTCGATGTAATGTACTGTTGTGAATGCATATACTTATTTTGTGTGTTGTATGTTTTAAGTAAGTACTCTAAATTTGCTTTTGGCTTGGTTTTGGAAGTTTATTCTCGAAATAATTTAGAAAACAATACTCCCGGCCCTGTGATTATATAATGTAATCTGAATTCTGTCAATTTTCTTGGGATAAAAGCAGTAGTTAATCATATGGAGTTTTAAATAATTTGTTATGTGTTGGCATAGGAGAGAGTCTATATTAAGCATTTCTGATTACCTGTTTTTTATAGGTTCCATATTATTTAGTAACTTCAGCAGAAAAGTGGAAAGAATATCATTAAGACTACTTTAGTATAGAGATTTGATTTACTTTGTATAAACCAATTACAACAAAAACTTAACTTCCAGATGGTACAGAACATATTCTTAGTTAAATAAACCAACTTATTCATTATGCAATATTCTTAATGCTTGATCTGAGTTAACATACAAAAGTACTAGTATTACTATTATGCAACTTCAGTTTTAGCTTCTTGGTTGCTCTGCTTTCTTCAAATTATTTACATTCAGTTATGCCGGACAATCCTAAGTGGGACGATGATACACATATTATATTTATTGAGTTGTGTGAGCAAGAGTTTAGAAAAGAAAATAGACCAAACACTTACTTAAATAAAGATGGGTGGAAAAATCTTGTTGATGAGTTCTGTAAGAAGACGGGAAAAGACTATGATAAATAAAAAATTATTGGGATTATATGAAAGGAGAATTGACACTTTTTAAGCAGTTGATGAGAGGGGAGACGGGGTTAGGATGGGATGCCACGAAAAATACGATTATGGCAGATGATGTTTGGTGGGAGCGAAAAATTAAGGTACATCTCTCACATTATCATATGTGTAATTTTTATTTTTGTCATTATTAATTTTATCAGTTTGATTAAAGTAGTTTTTATTTTCTCTTTTTAAAGGAGAATGCAAAATATAAGAAATTTAGGAACAAAGATCTTTCGCTCATATGGTTTCGCTACGATGCATTGTTTGCTGATGTTGTTGCCACAGGAGAAAGAGCACGTGCAACAAATCAAGAACAATCATCGGGCATTGGACTTAATCTTGATGAAGAAGGAATAAATGTCATTGATGATTGTGACAACGAACACTTTACTCATCTTAATGATGAAATGAGCGATGAAAGTGGTGATCTACAGAATATAAATTCTGTTATGTTTCCAGAGCCATCACTAAAAAGACAAAAATCAATTGATGGTGTTAGCACTAGCAGTCAAGTAAGAAAGAGTAAGAAAATAGCAGCTGCAACATTAATAAAAAAGGATATACACTCTCTCATAGAGTTTATGTCTAGCAAAAGCGCTGCTACATCTCCTGCAATTGATGAGACATCCATCGAGAAGTGTATTGGCACGTTGGAACAAATTCATGATATTCTAGCTAGGAGTGAAATTTACTGTTTTACTATGAATATGTTCCGCAAAAAAAATAACCGATAGATATTTTTGGGGATGCCTACTAATGAAGCTCGCAAGGATTGGTTGGAGTTTAACTATCAGTTATACCTCAAGAAAAATGAATAGTGTATCGTTGTGGTTGAGTATTTTTATTATTCCATGTTTGAATATTATGATTGTATATGTAGATGTTATTATGGTTTTATGTGTAAACTTTATATTGCTTCTTGTTTAGACATTAGGATTATATCACTAAACTTTTATTAAATTAAAGTTTCTATTTGTGGTAAACTTTATGTTTGAAAGCCTTGGTTTTATTGTTAAGCTTATATTGTTAAACTTTTGTTTGGTTTTGTTTGTGGTAAGCTTATATTGCTTCTATTGTTAAGCTTTGGTAAACTTTACGTTTGAAGGTCTCTTCAGTACATAAAAAAGAACTGAAGAAAGCTTATGTTTGAAAGCCTCTTCAGTACTATTTAGAAAGCATATTGCTAAACTTTATGTTTTCATTTTCAGTAAAATGGAGAGTTCGGACTCTAGTGACATAGTAATCCTTATCCAAGTTATTCGTCAGAGGATGAAGATGAAGAAGTACTGGATGAGATACAGAGGGAGCAAGATGAGAAGGAATGGACGGCCTTATGTCAAATTGCAGGTAAATTGATTTTGATGTATTACGAAAAATACCTATGCAAGGAACCTTATCGTACATCTAGTCGCTCTGGAAATGTATTTATTCAAGAGATATTAAGAGGAAACGAGACTCGTTGTTATGAAAATTTTCGACTGAGGAAGTCGGTATTTGTTGATCTATCGAATGACTTAACTGAAAAGTATGGGCTTAAACCCACACGTGGAATGTCTATACACGAGATGTTAGGCATGTTCTTGATGACTTGTGCACATGGAGCTGGAAATCGATTGATACAGGAAATCTTTCAACATTCAGGAGAAACAATTCATAGACACTTTCATAGTGTCTTAAAGGCCGTTTGTCAGCTTGCAAGAGATATAATTAGACCACATCAAAATTATAATGATGGTGCAGGAGCTCACAAGCCATGTACTGGTCGATATCTCCCTTTCTTTAGAGTAAGCAATATTTTTACATAATTATTTTTTTATTAATCTTATAAGTTAACTTTTATAAGTATTACTAACTTAAGTTGAATTTATACTTGTAAATGTATGTAGGATTGTGTTGGAGCACTTGATGGCACACATGTTAAATCAAGATTACCGCAAGGTCAAGAGATACCATATATTGGCCGTAAAGGTTATCCGACTCAAAATATTTTTGCTGTCGTAGATTTTAATATGTGTTTTACATTTGCATGGGCTGGGTGGGAAGGTGTCACGACCCAATTCCCGAACCTGGTCGTGATGGCGCCTC